TTCCGAATGATTATATCTGATAAGGCAGACGTGGTTGGTACCTTGTGGGAGAGTGTGTACAGTTCGGAGGAGCAGATGGATCACCAGTCTGGTGAGATTGATGCAGGGGGAAGTGACGAGGGGTTCTGGCAGATGCTCGAGGCTCAGAGGAAAGGCAAGACGGACGTTTAATCAGAATGCTACTGGCACCATTAGTATCGGAACTCTTCGCTGGCTGCTAAAGATGGGGACGGAGCGCTTATTGGAATACCCCGAATGCTGTGATGTCGGTTCTTGACCTAACTTAACTCAGCCCATTATTTAACAATGTTCAGTGTTAATTTAAAGACTATCTTCATCGAACATCGGACATGATCTTAACTGCTCCAATCTCCTCATGAGCTGCATTATGTAACAATTACGCTAAAAAAAATACAACAGTAATTAATTTTCTGGAAAAAACAACTATTGACGCGGCTCTATTCTTAATATGATATTGAGCATTTTTGTGTTGTTGTTTATTTGCTTTTAATTTGCAGGAGTTATTCACCAGAGATTTCTGATTGTATCTCCATCTATTGTCTCCAGATGGAAACGATTGCAAGTTTATAAATGGACCGGTTCTTTCTGTGAGGTTTCCTTCTGAGATAGGAAGGATTGTAAATTCTAGGTGCCCTAACCAACTGGCACCATGTATGTCGTAGTGATTAGATTGAGTTATCAGTTGCGAACCGACATCAGAGCCCTCAGGATATTCCCACCAGCGCTTTATCCTCGTCTTCAGCAGCAAGCGGTGAGTTCAAATCCAGATGGTACGTGTAACATTTATTGTATGCCCGTCTCGCTTGCCCCTTTCATGGGTGTTAAGCATCGACGAGATCCTCTGGGCACACGTCGATGCACTATTCTCTTCAAACCGTGGTGATATATGTGTGCCACCGCACTGTTTACTCGCCCTCTAAGGGCCCCTTTTAACACCTACGTGGTTTGACTTTGGTTTCAGAATCAGCTTTCACTGCATGGTGCAGATATATACATAAAAGCAATCGAGAATCGCCGCGCCGTCACCAAGAAAACATCAGAATAGGCAGGTGTGCCTCGGTTCTCTTATAATTTTCTAGGGGCTTAGGGTGGGAAAAGGGGGGGGGGGGGGGGGACGGCGCGGTCAGGGGACAAGACACGTGAACAGTTTTAGCTAAATTACAGGATAGACAATTTTTAAAACCAAGTAATGGTTAAAGTCGAAGGCACAAGAGCAAGAGGTAGACAGTGGAACAAGTAGGGAGGCCAACGTCAAGAGACTGAGAAAGAACAGCAGCCTGAGAGTGTGTACAACCACGACAAGATATAATGTTGGAAATTCTTTGAAGCCAACCTTCGTTGTGGAGATGGGTGGTGATTTACTGACGTATGAGCGACGTATCTTACAAGAGATGTTACCTACAAGTAAGTCAACATTATAGTGCAGAAATTCAGGTGTACGCTAATGTGGGTTTTTTTTTTTTTCTGATTTGACCACGATCTCTGGAATTGCCCCTTTTGTTAGTTTCGTATAAAGTACTTGTCAGTGTCTCTGATATTTCTGCGGTCCAAATTATGCGCGGTCGACCTCTGGGTCAGGTGCCACTGTATCTGTATAACACTGCTCTCTGTGGTGCGCTGTCTGATGCCAGTCTTGTTACATCGCCAAACAATTTGATTTGTTGTCTACCTATACTGTTCTGTTTTGGTTCTGTGCCGTTTCTCCTCCTGATATAATCGTTCCTAAGTGGATCTTTCCTCGTTACACCTAGTATAGTACGTAAACATTTCATTTCTGTCCTGACTATTTTCCTTCTGTCTTTTGAAGCCAGTGTCCATGTTTGACATTGATTGCATAGCGTTGGTAAGAATATTATGTTGAACAGTGTTCTTTTAGTGTTTATATTCACATGCTTGCATTTCAAAATGGGTGCCATTTGGTCTAAAACTTGATTGGTTTGTATTGCATCTTTAATAGATTTTTAAATTAATTTTTCTGTCCTCTGAAAAAAATGCTCCCGAGATATGTAAAATCCTTCGCTTGCTTTAACTGGTGTTCATAAATTTTGATATTGGCACTCTTCCTTTTCAGGAGAATATCATAATTTCTGTTTTGTTCACGTTGATCTTCATATAATACTTGTCGCATTTTGAGTGAAGTCTGTTAACATGTTATTGTAGCTGTACTGCTGTTGGTGCTATGAGTGTCTGGTTATCGGCGAAATACAATTCATTCAGTAATTCTCCGATATTGTCACCTTCGCTGCTGTTAGCGGATTTACAAATTTGGTCGACGTATATGATGAACAGTAGTGGTGATAGAACGCCCCCTTGCCTCACTCCAGATCTAATGTAGAACTTTTCTGACATTTCTGTATTTGTTCTAACTGCTCATTAACTGTTGACTATAAACTCTTGCACAGTTAGTTTAATAAGGTGTTTGTTTACTCCGTAATCCTGTTGTACCTTCTATAATTTATTCCTATTAACTTCAATTAACAGCGTACCGAGCGCCCTTTAAAGGACAAACGCAAAAAAAAAAAGATTATAAAAAAGAAGAAGAAGATGATGATAATGATGATGATGATGTCGATGATGATGATACTGATGATGATAATGACACATAAGAATAAATTATCACGGCCCTCTGAATATTCCATAAACACTCTTTCCCTATCTTCTGCAGTCAGCATAGTGGTCACTTGAATCTACAAGATAAGAATGTTAAGTACTAAAATACGTTGGTCAAATGGGGTCTAAACTCCGGGTCTCTTAATGTGAGACTACATGCAACTCTGCCACTTGAGTATAAACGTGGTGTCACAGTGAAACAGTTTTTACCACATCCAGAAAATGCACAGATAAAATGTTGTATGCAAACGTATTTAATAAAAAATTTTTTTTAGCCATTTTGCTCTCAATGCAGTTGGAGGCATGTCGAGTTTCTCAGCCGTGCACAAGTGCAGGTTTTTCTTTCTTTCTTAAGCCTTCCTTTCTTTCGGAGCAAATGCCACAGAGCTTGAAAATACACAAAAATAACCAAGAGCTGTTTAAGGCGGGGGAAAAACCAAATGAAATAATGCTAAGCTTCCCTTTGCCTGTTTATGTTTATAACTGTGTTATAAAATAATTTTCAAGGCCCTTGTTTCCGTCATTAAGTTTGTTCGTTTACGTGTCTTGGTTAACCAATGCAAGATGCTTACAATAATGTATGATGTTAAACAGTAAATGCAGCACTGCATTGCAAGAAGTATTCTGCAAACATTTAAAATACATTCATAAGAAAGTCCATTTAAACATGCTAAAACTAAAACGTCTTTGACTTTTCATCTGTGTCCTTATTTAGAACACAAAATGTGTCAATTTACATGTCGTTGGTCAAACATTGCAAGATGTTTACAATCAACAACTTCTGACGTTAAAACGAACAATAAATACGGCACAGCATTTGGCAACAAAGACTTCAACCATTTTCAGATAACGTCACATTAAGGTGGTTTATAAAGACGTTCAAACAACATCCTTCTTCCTTTTCATTTGTGTTTTTTGCCCCCTTCCGTCAAAAAATTTGTCCATTTACACGTCTTGTGCCAAACGGTGCAGGGTGCTTAGAATCATTTCTGACGATACAACCAACAGTAGATACGGTACTGCACTGCAAGAGGAGGCATTCTACAACAAAGCCTGAAACCATTTAAAATACCGTCACACTCAAAGAGGTCTATAAAAAATGCACAAACACCTCTCTTCCTTTTCATCTGTGGCCTTTTTTTCTATCATTAAAATTGTCAATTTACACTCCTTGGGTCAACCAGTCCATGGTGTTTAGAATATTTCTGATCTTGCACTGAACAGTACACGTGGCACAACATTACAGAAAGCAAATGAGTGCAGAAGTATTTGTCCACCACCAAACTAAGCGATTAGGAGGACATTCGCGAAAAACGAACAGACACAAGCAACAGAAATCACAAAACCTTTAATCAAACTTGTTTAAAACACAGCCTAATCTTCAGCATAAACAGACACCACTATTTAATATTCCGATTATCCGAGGACTGTCATTCTCTAACATATCTTACTTTCACCAAGTTAAAACAGCCCAGCGCAAAAGCCATTATTTATTAAAAAAAAAAAAAAAAAAAGCGCAAACGCCTTTCTTCCTTTTCACCGTCTATGGATAATTCTCCTTGTTTCTTTTTTTGCAAATCTTGTTTTCCTCAACCCAATTTTCCAAACGGCTTATTTTTATGATTACACTCTTCTTTTATTTTCTCTTCCATCTCCGCAAGGCAGATTCCTCAAATGTTCAGGGTTTTATCTTCTGCGTCATCATCATTATCGTCATTATAATCATTATCTGGGGGTGGGGTGAGCGGGTCTCCGTGGCGAAGTAGTCAAGGCGTTGCCCTGTGCATTGAAGTTCGTGGTTTCGTTTCATGGATGCATTGTTCGACTGACGAGCGCAGTTTTTTTACGGAGACCCATGGGGATCGTTGCTGGAGCTACGGTGTTTGTGCACCATACAACTCCCCTTAGCCATGTATAGACGATCTATTGTAAGCGTTTGATTATACATTTTTTTAAATATGTTATCAAATTTATTTGATTTTCAGCACATAATTCCTCTTCTTCTTCTTCTTCTTCTTCTTCTTCTTCTTCTTCTTCTTCTTCTTCTTCTTCTTGTCACATAACGTTGGTGTCATGTGTTTTTGTTAGGGTTTTCCCTAATGAACCAAAAGGCGCTCTGAAGTAGTTTAGGTTTTGAGATGTGGCTCGCAATGGTCTAGGCGGTATCCCGCAGCTCCTGTGACATAGAGGAAAACCAGAGTTAGCAATCACCAATCACCATAGCATGACCAACCATCCATTTGTCGACAGTATTTTAGCTCAAATGTCTTTTAAAGACCGATTAGATCTGTAACAACTCCAGGATCACCAGTGGCAGCATTGAGGTCAGAAAAAAACTATGTTTTGTCTAATGCCATTCCTAGTGAAAGCGATATTATGCATATGCAAACCTACAGAGAGATAATACCATTTCCTTCCCATACTAGGGTTCAAGAATACACACACACACAGACACACACACACACTGAAAGCGTACTAGCATCAGAAACACGAGACAACGTTCTTACTCTCCCGCAGACGTTGTTGTGTTCCCATATTGGGCAGGGCGGACGTGACGTCACACCTGTAGTAAAATTAGCATGACCCTAGCTAATACCTATCAAAATGGACTGACCTGACCTGTTCAATATATATATCAAATGTGAGCAATCATATTATACAAAATGGATACGTAAAGTCTAAGCTGTCTGGAACCCAGTGAGGCAGTATGAGGAGAGAATTTTCCTCAGCTTGCAGGAGAACGCTCTGGTTACGCGTTATCTTGCAGTTTAAATGGTTTGACAGTCAAGTTCTGTTGCTTCACATAGCCACTTCTGTCCTACACTCAGCAGCATGGCTAAATGTTTCTAAACTATTAATCCACAATGTACTTACCCATGTGCATGGACGTTCCCGGGTGAATCGGTGATTCAACGGAAGTAAGCAGATAGACAGAAAGGGCAGCAAGTCTGGAAGCTCAGTCAAGAATGAGTCCCAAATATAAGCGTCTATCCAGCTAGAAGCGGGGGGGGGGGGGGATTCATCCGCGTCCAAAGCGGTAGTTAGGCCAATGGACTTTGGCTTCACTATAAGTAAATCTCCCACCTATATGGCTGAATTTAAATATATGTCATTCCCAAGAGAATTAGAATGTAACTGAGTACTTAACACGACAGCATGACACATAAGTACAAAAGAAGGACTAATTACCTATGGAGGAAAGTCCAAGATTTGAAATCATCCATTAACATAGTGTATAAGATGTGAGCAGGTTCAAGACCAAAGGGTGTGGGCTGTCATGCGAAATTTATTTTCTTCTTCCTCTTCCTCTTCTTTTTCTTCTGTTACTACTACTACTTCGTTTTTTCTTCCTCTGTTCTCTGTTCATAGATTGCCTCGCGGCCTCAGGGATTTCTGAGATTCAGAGATTTCTGAAACGGGCTTTTTTGTTCGCTTCGTATAATGTACTTTTCAGTGTCTCTGATATTTCTGCGGTCCATATTCTGCGTGGTCGGCCTCTAGCATGTTATACTGTAGCTGTATAATACTGCTATCCGTGGTGCCATGTCTGATGCCAATCTTTTTCTCCTTTTTTCACCAGTTGAAAGCTCTGGCGGAAAGTTCTGGCCTGGCTGTTCGTCCATTTGCACTTTGGCTTTGTGCCAGGGCCCGAGTTTTGCGTGTTCATTTGTTTTACCAGCTTCTTTGTGTGCAGTTGGTTGTTTCTTGCTGCTCGGGCAGATGTACTCCGACTTCGAAGGAAGCTCCGAATTAGTCGACTCCAACTACATGCTTGTTGGGGAGACAGTGGGTCTATTCTCGTTTTTCCCCACACTTGAGTCCAGGAACCCACACGGGAAAAAGTGTCTAATAAAATTAGGCGGTACTTACCACAAAGTGACTTTTACAGTAGCGCCAAAAAAGTCTCCAAATGTGTGCCGGTACCGCACACTGACGCGTATCATCAGTAAACAAAATTCCTACCTATACGTATACATAAGGATATACCGAGACTTCAAGAATGCAAGTGTTCATTTTCTTCTGGTGTTCTTTCGAAAACTTCAAGGGTTCTCTTCAACAACTGACATCCCTGTGCAGGGGTGCAACCACATATAAAGCAGCCCATTTATAGTTACTCAAAAACTGTTTTAGTACTTTTTGGCAAAGTAAAATAGTCGGAATTTCAAAACTTTAAATGGTGGTTCAAAGAACGTTATGCTGAGAAGCTCGCTCTCCTACAAAACACGCCTGGCCAAATCAGAAGGAGCTGAAACCCAGGAGGAAACATCACAAATGAAAGAGCAAGAAGAAGACAGCTGCCAGCAGGATAGGGAATGAGCGGTGGTCTGACTTGGAGGAAAGAAGCATTCAGCCCAAACAAGACCATAAAAATAGCCGGAGACTGTTGGCAAACCTCGGCTAGCCAGCTGCAGGATAAATGTGGTAGCGTTTTTAATTTATTCTTAAAAGGAACTGGATTTGAATTTATCAAGGGTCTTCAAGGGCGTAAGCATTTGTGTGTGTGTGTGTGTGTGTGTGTGTGCGCGCGTGCGCGCATGTGTGTGTGTTAAAGTGCGAAATAATAATTATTTAAAGAATTATTATGTGCTGAAGACAAATAAGTGCAATAATATATTCAAAATAATATGAAAAGTGTATGTACAGTAAAGGATTCCTTTCCAGGTCTGTTGGGGATATAGGGCTAGATGCATAATTGATAGACCAATCGGCACTCGGCGGGTCATGAGATCAACATTGAGCCGGTCGCATTTAATTTCCAGGAGTTTACCTGGTACTAATTTAAGCCTGGGTCGACCTGGAAGCCAGGATGATTGTAGAAAATAGTCCAGCTCTGTCATGAATTTGAAATCATGACCTTTGGATCTGCAGAAGAGTTCCTAGCCGCTGCACCACATCATCATCATCAGTTCTCGTTATGCCTAGTGGCACATGAGGCTTTAGAGAAGACTTTCCATGCTTTCCTGTCCTGTGCAATCTTCAGTGCAGTTTTCCATGTCAAAAATGCCGTACGCAGGTCACTTTCCATCGTTCGTCTTCATGTTGTTTTTGGGTGCCCCTGTTTTCTCTTTCCCTCTGGTGTCCATGTGAGAGCTGTTTTGGCGGGTATATTAGAATTCATTCTCATAACGTGGCCAAGTCATTTCCATCTTCTCTTGGTTATCCTACTGTCCAAAGTTTCTTGGTTTGTGACTTGAAGTAGTTTAGTGTTTGAGATTGTATCTGGCCAGAAAATTTTGATAATTCTACGTAGACATGTGTGGTGGAAGGTGGACAGCTTGTGTGCATCCTCTTTGGTCATTCTCCAGCATTCCGCTCCATAAACAAGAACTGGCAAAATGATGCTCTTGTAGTGTCGGAGTTTCGTTCCTCTGCAGTGATTGTTGGATTTCCAGATTTGCCTCATCCTTCCAAAAGCAGCTCTAGCTTTGTTCAGACGTGACTGTATGTCCTCTTCGGTCCCTCCCAGTAGGGACACAAGACTGCCAAGATATGTGAAATGTTCTACATTTTCAAGAGTTTGGTTATTTATGGTCACTGGTTGTTAGTTTGGACTGCTTGTCATGATCTTAGTTTTCTTTGTATTTATTCTCAGTCCCACCATTTCTGCTGTGCTGTGTAGACTGTTACTTTTCTCTTGTATATGTTCATGTTTATGTGATAGGAGTGCTATATCATCTGCAAAATCAAGGTCCTCAAGCATGGTGATTGGAGTCCATCGTATGCCTCTTAATGTCCTGTCTACTGTGTTCTTTAGTATCCAATCAATCACAAGGTTGAAGAGGAGAGATGATATAACACATCCCTGTCTTACACCTGTCTTTATTCTGGGAAAGATGTATTGTAATTTTTTATACTGAAGGAAAAGAAAAGTCTTTATAGAAGAGAGCAATTATGTTGACTATTTTTTCTGGATTTCCATAATGTCGTAAAATTTTCCATAGACTGTCTCTATTGACGCTGTCAAAAGTTTTCTCAAAGTCCACAAAATCTATGTATATACTTCTCTGCCATTCATTGCATTGTTCTAATATGTTACGTATGGTGAAGATGTGCTCAGTTGTTCCTCTGCCCTTTCTGAATCATGCTTGTTCTACTCGTAGGCATTTTTCTACTCCTTTGCTGCACCATATAGGTTTCCATGAAATGTGTTACCAAATACTGAAAAATGTATCTCCTATACATTGCTGGGGCCGATTACTTATCGGCGTTGATCTGGGGGAGGGGGAGACCTAACTCCCCCCCCCCCCGCGATTTTCACGGAAAAGGAAATTTTAGAGGGGTGGCGGGGCGCAGTGGTGGGTGGGGGTGGGGGGGGGGGGCTCAAGATGGTTGAGCCTGCAGAATCCGGTGCCTAGATGCCTACTCTGCGTACATCACGTTTCTGTAGGAGCTTTGAGCGTGTGGCCTCGTTTTATGCTAGACGCAAGACCAAATTGAGAATATTCAAGGAAGAGGTAACGAGCGAGCATGCGTTTGGCGCCAGCAATCCAGTGTGCTATTTCCCCCTGATGTCTTTGGCTCGTTGAGCATCGATTTCATTATGTTTGACCCACACGCACGGAGGATTAAATTACCCCTGGCCCTGACATAAAAACACACACAGACAAAAAGTAAAACTTAGGGGAAATAGCCGAGAGAATTATAGCACATTACATTGTCACAGACTTGTTAAAGAGCAAAGATAAAATACTTAAAGATAAGATTACAGTCTCTACATTTGGGTTCTGCGACCTAAATTTTAGGGGACAACAAAGTACACCCGCAAGAAGCATGTCGTAAAGGGTGGCTGATTAATGGTTCGATGAAATCGGAGGGGTTGGGTCGAGAGGTATATATACTGCAGCGTAGCTGTATACCAAAATACACCGTCCTAACCGTCATTTTAGGAATAAACGCCGAAGAAGAAGAAGAAGAAGAAGAAGAAGAAGAAGAAGAAGAAGAAGAAGAAGAAGAAGAAGAAGAAGAAGAAGAAGAAGAAGAAGAAGAAGAAGAAGAAGAAGAAGAAGAAGAAGAAGAAGAAGAAGAAGAAGAAGAAGAAGAAGAAGAAGAAGAAGAAGAAGAAGAAGAAGAAGAAGAAGAAGAAGAAGAAGAAGAAGAAGAAGAAGAAGAAGAAGAAGAAGAAGAAGAAGAAGAAGAAGAAGAAGAAGAAGAAGAAGAAGAAGAAGAAGAAGAAGAAGAAGAAGAAGAAGAAGAAGAAGAAGAAGAAAGAAGAAGAAGAAGAAGAAGAAGAAGAAGAAGAAAGAAGAAGAAGAAGAAGAAGAAGAAGGAAGAAGAAGAAGAAGAAGAAGAAGAAGAAGAAGAAGAAGAAGAAGAAGAAGAAGAAGAAGAAGAAGAAGAAGAAGAAGAAGAAAGAAGAAGAAGAAGAAGAAGAAGAAGAAGAAGAAGAAGAAGAAGAAGAAGAAGAAGAAGAAGAAGAAGAAGAAGAAGAAGAAGAAGAAGAAGAAGAAGAAGAGAAGAGAAGAAGAAGAAGAAGAAGAAGAAGAAGAAGAAGAAGAAGAAGAAGAAGAAAGAAGAAGAA